TTTTTTTTCGAGACAGGGTTTCTCTGTGGCTTTGGAGCCTGTCCTGGAACTAGCTCTGTAGACCAGGCTGGTCTCGAACTCACAGAGATCCGCCTGCCTCTGCCTCCCGAGTGCTGGGATTAAAGGCATGCGCCACCATCGCCCGGCAGTCCAACTCTTTCTGAAAGTTTCTAGCAGAAGTTGCTTCTGTGGAGAGAGAATCCAAAGATACTAGGTTGACTGTAGCTGTACTTTCCCTTGGTTGTAATTAAGGGCATATATCTTTTAAGGATTATTTTTATGTCTGAGTGTTTACCTGCATGTGTGTATGTGCAGGACATGTGTATGTGCCTGGTGCCTAAAGTGGTCAGAAGAGGGGATCAGATTCTCTGGAACTAGAGTTACAGGTGATTGAGTCATGTGAGTGCTGGGCACGGAACTCAGGCTCTCTCCAAGAGTAGCAAGTATTTTCTTTATTTTAAATTAATATTTAGTGTGTATGTATGTGTGCATGTATGTGTGTGTGTGTGGTCCTGGGTATGTATATGTGAGTGTTAGTACCTCTAGAATCCAGAAGAAGGCATTGGATGGAGTTACAGGCAGTGATGTGCTGGGAACTGAACCTAGGTCCTCTGTAAGAGCAGCAAGTGCTCTTAGCCTCTGAGCCATCTCTTTTGCCCCTGTAAAGAATCCTTAACGATGAATGGCAAATACTTAAACTAGGGGCTGGTGAGATAGCTCAGCGGTTAAGGGCACTTGTTGCTCTTATAAAGGGCCCAAGCTTAGTTCCCAGCACCCACATGGCAGCTCACATCTGATGCCCTCTCCTAGCCTTTGTGGGCACTGCATGTAGATGGTACACAGATGTACATGCAAGAAAAACATGGTATAACACACACATACATAAAATAAATAAGTCTTAAATAAAAAAAGAAAAATCGTACACTGGGGTTGGAGAGATGGCTCAGCAGTTTAGAGCACTTACTTTGTACAGGAGTCAGTTTAGGTCTTCAGTACCCACGTAGTGGCTCACAGCCACCTGTGATTCCAGCTCCAGGTGATTGATATACACCCAGGAACACACATGATGCGCACGCATATATCTGGGCAAAACATTCATATCCATTGTGATGCTCTGAATGAAAAAGGCCCCCATAGCTTATATGTTTAAATGCTTGGTCCCCAGTTAGTAGGAGGTGTGGCCTTGTTGGACAGGGTGTGTCACTAAGGGTGGACTTTGAGGTTTCCAAAGTCCTCACCAGTCCCTGCCTGCCACTTGCAGATCAGATGTGCCCTTAGCTATCTCTCTAGCATCACACCTGCCATATGCTTCCCACCATGATAAGGAACTAAGCTTCTGAAAGTGTAAGTAAGCTCTCAATTAAATTTTTTATTTTAAAAGTTGTCTTGGTTGCTGGGCACCGGTGGAGCACACCTTTAATCCCAGCACTCTGGAGTCAGAGACAGGCGGATCCCTGTGAGTTCAAGGCCAGGCTAGTCTAAGTACTCAGATCCTGGACTGCCGTGGCAATATGATGGGACTTTGTCTCAGGAAAAAAAGAAAAAGGAAGAAGCCATTGGTATTTTTAAAAGGATGGCATGGGGTGGGGTTACTAGCAAGCAACAGACAGATCCAAGCTGTGCACGACAGACGCCAGCCTGGTGTGGCAATTAATCACTTGAAATGTAGTTAGCGAACCACGGGACTCAATTTTTTCTTGTTAATTAGTTGACATTCAAATAGTCACATAGGGCTGGAAGCTGGATACACAGGCCTAGAAAGACACTGGCAGCCGGGCGGTGGTGGCACACATCTTTAATCCCAGCACTCGGGAGGCAGAGGCAGGCGGATCTCTGTGAGTTCGAGGCCAGCTTGGTCTACAAGAGCTACTTCCAGGACAGGAACCAAAAAAAAAAAAAAAAAAAAAAAAAGACACTGGCAGAGATTTAGATAGAAGACTGCGTAGGGTTATATGTTGGATAACATCCTGAGCCAGTGCCCTGATGCCCCACAAAGGGTATCTCCTAGTTGTAGTGGGGAAGAGAGGCCAAAGTCAAGTGTCCCTTTCTCCCGTGCTGAGGGGACCTAAAGGACAGCATGGGTATTTTTCCTGGCCCAGCTGTCATGATGGCTGGCACATACTGTCGACCCCATCCGTTAGAGGAATATTGGCTGGTGGCAGGCCCATGGGGCAGGTTTTATTTTCCATGCCCCTAATTGTATGGGCTCATATGTGCCTGTAATGTCAACAAGACTTGGAAGTTAGAGGCAGGTGAGTCAGGAGTTCAGGACCAGCCTGTCTCAAAAACAACCCGCATACACGCATGCCACACACACACACACACACACACAAATACATGTTTTAAAAAAGTAAGGAAGGCAAGTCTGGTGGCACAAGCCTTTAATCCCAGCACTCGGTGGGCAGAGCGGGGGAGAATCTCTGAGTTTGAGGTCAGCCAAGGCTTACATAGCGAGACTGTCTTTTAAAGTAACAGAACAGAAATTGGAGAGATGGCTTAGTGAATGAGAACACTGGCTGCTCTTCCAAAGGACCCGAGTTCTATTCCCAGCACCCACATGACAGCTCACAGCAATCTGTAACTCCAGTCCCAGGGGATCTGATGCCCTCTCTTCTGGACTCCAATGGCCCCACATGCATGGCGCATAAACATATATTCAGGCAAGACACTCATACCCATGAAATAAGTCAATTCGAAAAGTCGGGTGCTGTGGATTTAACCTGGGTCATTTCTGCAAGAAAGATCCTCCCAGCCAGTCTGCACCAAGCCATCACTCCACTCCGGTCCCCAAAACAAGTTCATTTAAAAAAAATTATTTATGTGTATCGGTGTTTTGCCTCCACTATGTGCACGTGTGTCTTATTATTTATCAGAATAAAGTGTCAGGTCCCCTGAAACTGGAGTAGTGGGTAGTTGTGAGCCACCAGGTAGGTGCTGGGAACAGAACCTGGGTCCTCTGGAAGAGCAGCAAGTGTTCTTCACTGCTGAGCCATCTCTCCAGCCCCAGTAAATCAATTAAGACAATTTTAAAAAAGAGAAGGAATGAAAACCTAGCCACTAGGGTAAAGGTTAACTGACCCATCACGTAGAACTGCTGGAAGAGGGGAATCCATTTCCCTGACAGTGGCACTGGCTCTATCCACCCCTCCAGGATGGGCCTCGTGTGCAGGAGAAGTTGAATAATGTATAATGGACTCCAACGGGTTTTTTGTGCGCTTTTATTTGGTCACAGTTCAATTTTTTTTTTAATTGTAGGGGCGTGGTGGTTTTCTTGGTTTTGGGGGTGTTGTTGTACTGGGTTTTTGCTCGTTTTTTGAGAAAAGACTTAAAAGTCATATGAATTGGAAGGGAAGATTATGACCAAAATATATTTAAATTTAAAACTTGTTTTAATGAAAAACATAAACAGCAATTCTCAAATAACCAATAAAATTTTTCAAAATAGAAAAATTAAAAGATGCCGATATTCCAAGTGGAGACTCAGGTTCCACAGGTGACTTATCTAAGTCACCGAGCAGGTGAGGGACGCAGCTGAAGTTTGAACTTGTGTCCTACTTGCCTATGGTGCCCATGACTTTAGAAGCTGTGCTTTGGTGGAGCTCACTGAGGCCGTAAGACCAGGCAGGCGAGAGGGGGAACCTGTGCCCTGTTACCAATGGGAGACCGAGCATGCATATCCTGAGTGCAGGCTGGCACCGCCCAGAAACATGGGGACAGGCTGGATGGGTGCCTCCTGGACTTCCATGTTCCTGTAGGAGATGGACATCACGTTTACATAGAGGCGGCTGAGGGTCACCAATGAGTTCTAGGTATTCCTTCCTCACTGTGGGAGGTGATTCAAGGGGGTGTGTAATCCTGACAGTTTCCTGGACCAGGAAAAACCCACCTTTCTGGTGAAGTGGGTGAACTCTGACTTCACAACGGAACAATGACGGGGTTGGTGGGGCTTGCTGGGATTGGCGCCAGTACCATGACAAGCAAGGGAAGGCTGTTCTGAGGCACCCTGCCAGGAGAGCAATGTGGGTAGCATGCGTGCTGTTACTACAGGGCAACTGCAGAGACAGATCAAGCAAGTGAGCCAAACAAGAACACCGAAGCTCAGAAGGTTCTCTGGGTTCTCCCGTGCAGACTCTCTGGGAGTTTAAAAACGTTGACAGAGAAATTTCCCGTGGCCAGGCATGATGTATGCTGGTGCAGGTGTGCCCAGGCAGAGGCAGGCAGATGGCTGTGCATTTGAGGCTAGCTTGGTCCACACAGCAAGTTCCAGGTTAGCAAGGGCTGCACAGTAAGATCCTAGTCCAGCTGGGTTGTGGTGAGGCACGCCTTTAATCCCAGCACTCTGGAGGCAGAGGCAGGTGGATCTCTGAGTTCAAGGCCAGCCTGGTCTACAGGACAACCAGGGCTGCACAGAAACCCTGTCTCAAAAACCCAAGGGGGAAAAAAATGTCAAAAACAAAATAAATACAAATTTAAAAACTGAGTTACCTCCAATTTTTACAAAAGCAGAATGAGCCACACCTAGGCCCAGCTTCTAGGCTCTGATTGGACTAGGCCTATGGAGGGCTGTGTCTGGGACCGTCACGTGTCCCCTGGTGGGCACCAGGTGCAATGGAGCTAACTGCCCCATGAGATGTGGTGATAGATGTGTCTATTCCTAACTCATTAGCATTTGCAAGAATAGGCAGGAGGAATCCAGGCAGCTGCCCCAGAACCAAGGAGGCTGGAGCCAGCACATGCTTCTGGGCCTGGGAGACATCCGAATGGCAAAGACCCCAGATCCGAGTCCCAGGCTGGCAGGCAGGGGAGTACACCACCCTTGGCAGAAGGCTACAGCTTACAGTTCTCTGTTATCACTCCAGCCGAGCACATGGCTTTGATGGCATACAATCTAGTCCCTCTCTCCCTGTCCTGTCCATTTTATAAATGAGGAAACTAGGCCCTGCGCTCATCCCCCCACCAAAGCCCAGGGATTCGTGTCTCTGATGCCCCTCTGGTTTCAGGGCAGGAAGATTATGATCGGCTGCGGCCCCTGTCCTACCAGAACACACACCTCGTTCTCATCTGCTATGACGTTATGAACCCCACCAGCTACGACAATGTCCTCATCAAGGTAAAGTCCTGCCTGCCACTGAGAGTAGGGGCAGCTCCAGGGTGGCCTCTGACCTGATACCCTGCTTTCTCCCTCCTCAGTGGTTCCCCGAAGTAACACATTTCTGCCGAGGGACCCCCGTGGTTCTCATCGGCTGCAAGACAGACCTGAGGAAGGACAAGGAGCAGCTGCGAAAGCTCCGGGCAGCCCAGCTGGAGCCCATCACCTACACACAGGTGGGCCAGGGTCCCTGGACAACCATCGCCAGAAACCACCCAGGCCTTGGTCTTCTCAACTAGAGAGCCTAACTGGCTGATGGAGAGCGGAAGCAAACAAAGGTCTAAGAGCCATCCAAAGTAGTAATAATAATAACAATAATAATAGTAAGGCGCACACCTTTGATCCCAGCACTCAGGAGGCAGAGGCAGATGGATCTCTGTGAGTTCGAGGCCAGCCTGGTCTACAGAGCAAATTCCAGGTCAGCCAGAGCTACGTAGTGAGACCCTGTCTCGAATAAATAGAGAGGAATAGGCACTAATAATAGTAAAGCCAAGGTTTTTATTACGTCACTTAGCCAGCAAACTCAGTGGTTGAGTTTGGAACAGACCTGAGATGTGTTTAGCCCCAGTTCTCAGAATATCAGAATTCAGTTCCCCTCCGCCGAAAGCTTGGGAGAGGGCAGGTGGGGGCCAGCAAGGGCTTTCTTCCACCCAGCCATGCAGACACCAAACTGGCCAGCACTCAGACTTTGGCCACCAAAGTCAGTTCTCCACTCTGGAGAACCAAAGCTAGCCCAAAACTCCTAAGACTCTGAGGGGGTATCGGGAGGCATCAGGCCCTCATCTGATTAATACTGCTCCCCTTCCTTCCCCCCCCCCCCCCAGGGCTTGAGTGCCTGCGAACAGATGAGAGCTGCGCTCTACCTGGAATGTTCCGCCAAGTTTCGGGAGAATGTGGAAGATGTCTTCAGGGAAGCTGCCAAGGTGGCCCTCAGTGCCCTGAAGAAAGCACAAAGGCAGAAAAAGCGCAGGATCTGCCTGCTGCTGTGACCTTGGGGCGCACAGCCCTGAGCAGAGCTGTCCGGGTTAGGGACCCAGGCCTCGGCTCCTACTGGGATTTTATCCCGTCAGAGCACTGGGGCTAGACTCTTGGAACATTCTGGAACTGTTCCCTTTGGGTTCATGCTATGGTTCGATGGTGAATGAAGATGCCAGACCCACCAGTGTCCCTCTCCCCTGGGGCTGACACTTGTTCCCAGGCTGCAGGAGGGCCCTCAGAACAGCTCTTCTCGCCCCAGCCATGCGTGTTTCCCTTTCCAAAGCCAATTCATGCTTGAAACTCAGAAAGGCACGGAGAGTGTGGAGAAGTGTGGATGTGCACTACTGCTCCCAAGTGTCCCAAGGCCACCGTTCCTCTGTCACCCTCCCTGAGCTCCTGAGATAGCTTGGCTACATCCTCCATCCTCTTCCTCCTCCCCGCCAGGAACCGAGGGCCACAGCCTATCAAGAGAACACAGGCATCAAGCCGGACATGGGCAGGCACCAGCTGTTCCTGCTGTACCACACTGAAGACTTTTGTCTTAGCCTGAGACACATGTTCAGGGGAAGAAGAAACAATCTCTTAAAAGGTCAAAATATACTCAGGCCTCCCATCCGATCCCTACCCCAGATTTCACCTCCAAACCCGCAACTGACTTCCACTGGGGACTCCTGATGGACAGTGCCTGCACCCCATCAGAGACCTCAGGCGAATGGACTCTCCCCTTAGACCATCCCCATCTGTAAGCGGCCAGGACTGGGTCATCATTCCACCCTATTCAGTGTCTGCTTCTACCAGGATGCGGGGCTCAGGAATGGCCTGTCCCTGTCTCCTTCCAGAACTAACCTGCAGACCACCAATGTCCACAACAGCAAGACTCCTGAGCTCTGAAATTCCTTCCGGAAGGTCTAGACTCTGCATTTCAGAACTTTTCAAGCCAAGTTTCCCAGGTGGTTTTAGTGCCCCCAAGAGGAAGTCAGCATCCCCCAAGAAGAAACCATGGCCTAGGCTGGCTCATCTGTCCTAGGACCTCTTGACTCAGCCCCCAAAGTCAGGTTGCCAAGGAAAGGGACTTCTGGCCCCCTACCCCGCAAGTGCCCCAAGGCCCTGCTGTCCCCTGCAGAGCTAACCAAGGACCTCTTGGTCTCTCAGAATCCAAGGCCTTGTAGATAAATTATGATGTAGGGCAGAGGTCAACAAACCACAGCCTGTGGGCCACACGTGGCCACTGCCTGTTTTGTAAATAAAGTTTTATTGAACTGCCACAGTTGTGCAATGGCAGGTTACCACAGGGCTAGCCCGCACAGCCTGAACTACTTATAGTCTGGCTTTAATGGGGAAAGTCTGCTGATTCCTAACCTGGGGCAATCCTGGGTACCTGCAGAGGGCAGGCCAGGTGATCCAAGGACAGGAGACCAAGGACAGAAGTAGGGCAGGGATGAAGGGAGGGGCAGGTTGTGGCAAACAGGAGCATGACCTTGCCCCTTGGGAATGTTGCCAGGTCTTTCCATTTTTGTAAGGTAAACAGAAATCTGGATTCTTATGTGGGGGAGGCGAGATCTCATTTTTATCACATAACTAAAGAAATTTAAACTCCTGTGGAGACCAAATGAAACATGTCTGAGGACACCAGCTGTGGAGCTGGATCTGAGCGTGCAGCTGAGGTCCGTGGGTCGGAACATGGACCTCCATGGGTCAGAAGGACAGAACATTCAGCTGAACGTGTTTGCACCTCCACTCTTGCTGCTGCCTGGATCTCACAGGGTCACACAGGCCTTCCCACACATATGACTCTCAGAGGTCAACAAACCTCTGAGAGAGAGGGAGGGAGGGAATGAATGATTTCCAAATGGCTTAAGTTCTAGTCACACTGGGTCTAGGGCCCATGTCAAGGACGCACAGCAAGTCCCTGAAGGAAGGCTGAAGGGCAGCAGTGAGAAACCCCCAAGAGTCCACTGGACCGCAAACAACCCAGAAGCTTGGCGCCCTCTGGTGGAGACCATCCTTAAAACCCTGCCACCTCAGGTTCCAAGGGGAGGAGATCTCTAGATCCTGAGTAGGCTGTGCCACTTTCCCCCAGTGGCCAGCAGGCAGGTGTTTCAGGAAACACAAAGCAAGAGACAAGACAGTCAGGTTCTCTGAGAACTTAAATACTCCCTCACCACGGAGGGGGAGAGGCTGGGGGGGGGGGTTTACAACAGAGGTAGTGGCCCAGGGGAGGGGGTGGCCCAGAGAAGGACGCTCCACAGGTGCTGAAGGTATCATTCCACCAGGTGCCTGGGACACAGTAAATGGCAGGTCAGCTAAAGCCAACCCGTGAGGCACATCTAAACCCCAGTGAAGGGTTCAAATGACAGGAGTAGGAAGAGAGGGGGTTCCCTGAGGCTTTCTGCCCCTCCCTGGAAGACGGACGCAGATGCGGCCATTGCCATCACGCAGAGCTGCAGAGGCCTCGGATTCCAGGGATGCAGGGAAGACCCAGCATTAAATACATTATAAATAGGGAGCTGGGACAAGTTAATACTGTGCGCAAAGGTGCCCTTCACATTCCTCATGTCTGGCCAGGGACCAGGGCCTCGGCCCTGCTCCCAGTGATGCTGCTGGCCCCTGAGATGCTGCTGCCCTTGGCTACCAGTGACCGGCAGCCAGGGTGCTGACCGGAATCCCCAGCAGTCTTAAGTCCCAAGACTCCCAGGCACAAGGGTCCAGAGGTTCATGGCTGCTTTGTCTTGTTCCTGTTCTTCTGGAGTTTGGCGTGCACAACTTTGAGTGTGGTCAGGAAATTGCCAAGGAAGAGGATGAGGAAGGTGAGTGCCAGCACAAATACCTGGTCCATCCAGACGTGCAGCACCCAGCAATGCCCGGGGCAGGGGAGGAAGAAGAAGCTCGAGTCAATTCCCCCGCAGAAGAACCTGCCTAATCTCAGCCCCCAACCTTAGCAAAGCCATAGGAGCCACCAGCAAAGCGTGGAAGTAGGTGAATAAGTGCAGGTGGGGTTCTGGAAAAGTGGGGTAACCCTCCTTCATTCAACAACACTGAGCCCCCCCCCCGACCTCTCGAATTCCTTTCTACTATTTCCTCTCATGCCCCAGCAGCAGAAAACCCTGGGCAGCACAAACCCAGAGCCAAGAAACAAGGGAACAAAAGAGTCCTCCTCAAGGCAGCCCAGCTCTCTTCAAGCTCCCACCTTGCTACCAACAGACACACAGACAGACAGAGGCGTGTAGGCGTGGTACCTGCCATTCTTTGCATTCCTCGTGGCTGGAGAGTTCAAACAGCGTGACGGCATTGTAGAGCTGCCAGAACTGGAGCGGGAAGACAGGCAGCACTCACCTGTCAGCTTCCCTGCAGACCCATGTGGAAAGCCAGGGAGATGGACCAGGCCCCCCAGCACCCGAGACCAACTACCCAAAACATCGGCACCCCAACCACAGATGTCTCAGAGACAGCAAGTCTGAAGGGCCAGCTCTTCCTATCTTTAGTGTCCCTAGATTCTGCGGAAATGGGGGCGGGGGTGGGGACTACCTGAGATTTTCCACTTCTCCAGAGAGACTGGCCCTGTCTTGCACTATGGCCCCGGGAGGCTTTGAGGCTCAGCATTAAAACTATCACAACAGGGAGCCAGGTGGGGGTGACATTTGTATGGGGGGTTATCTCCTCCCAGATACCCGGGGACAGATACCTTGTGAGGGAGGGGCGCCCCAAGGATCTTCTGTTCCCAGGGGTCATCCCTGACAGGGGTACCCACATATAGAGGGACTCACATGGCCACAGAAAAGGAAAGGCAGGAGGAAGGTGAGGCCCCGCCACATCCAAGACTGGAACCCTTCTGTAGGGGAGAGTTAAGAGGTTTAGTATGTGTGACTACTTAAAAAACAGCACGGTCTCTTTGCGGCCCAGGCTGACCTCAAACCTGTGGGCTCAAGTGGTTCTCCAAAGTCAGCCTCCCAAGTAGCTGGGACTTCACATATGTCCCACCACACCTGACCTAACATTGTGTATATTATAAAGTTCAGACAGAAATACAGGCATTTCCATGGAGAGGCCTAGCACTCTGCTGCGGCCACACCTGAAGCTGAAACAGAGGTCCCCAGTGAATTATGAACAGCAGCAGTGTAAAGAAAGAACGGCGGCCCAGTGTGGAGGCCTGGAAGTCTTAGGCCCTCCCGATTCCGTGCCTCTCCTGCAGGAAGGTGGACCAGTCTTCCCAGCTCTACCTGCTGCCCAGTTACTCACCCACCGTGAGGTCCAGGTGGTTCCTCTCCCCCAGGGCTCGCAGTCTGTAGAGACAGCCTCTCTGGTAATAGTACTGCAGGAACTGAACACAGCCTGTAGGGGGAGCACAGTGCCCAGGCTCAAGGAGACTATACCCAAGGCCTCTGCCCCAAATCCAATGCCTTCAACAAAGGCAGGCTGACTGGAAGGGCAGAGAGAGCACCCTGGTGGCCTGCTTTCTTTATTTTAATAAGTCACCACAGGTATACTTCTATGTCTCTACCTCATTTTAGCAGTGTGTTTCCCTGAGAGAGGAACCACCTCCCCTTCCTCTTGGTCTTAATGTTGCCTGTTGCTCCCAGCATAATCTCACATAGCTTGCATTCCAAAAAGCATTTACTGCTAGCCTAGGAAAATTCCAGTCGTTCTTAATCTGGTTGGTGCTTTGATGGGTCATTACACGTCTGAGCTGTCCGTACTGTAAGTGATAAACACGTTCAGACAAGTATGAAAGACTGTTTTGGGGCAGGAGATAGATGACCCAGACTTCTGGCCAGAACCCTCTCCGCCCTCCACACAGGTGAGGATGGATCTTCTGGGAACCTCCTCATCAGTAAAATCCCTTGGGAGACCAGGTCCCTTCTCCTCAACTGGGCTTGAGTACTCACTCTGAAAAATGGAGAACGCTAAAAACTGATTTCGAAACTTCTGATAAATTAGTCCATTAGGCCTTGAAAAAACACAAAGGTGGGACACACTGTGAAACCAGACATTCTCTTAGACCCCTTTTTTCTCATTCCAACAGAAAGGGAAGAAAACTTTTCAAAGGTAAAACAAACTCCCAGATTCCTGTCCTTTGTCCGTGGGCTGATCAGGCCACACCCATCACCCTTTCCAGAATTAAGGGACATCGTGGTCACTCTGATTCCTCATGCTTGTTCCCTGTCACCTCTGCCCCAGCCAACAGAAACTGTGAAATAGTCCCTGGCAGCGGGGCCTCTAACCCAGTTTTCAGTACATACTTGCTTTCTACCCGACCCACAAGTCAATTTTGAGAACCCTTCCCCATGTACCAGCTGCAGTTCTGGCTCCATGGGAAGGGGGGTCAAAGGGCCCAGTGAGGGAGGACTCACCAAGTCAGCATCACTCCAGACAGGAACGTGGAGACATAATGGTGAGACACCCACCAGCCTTTGATTCTTGATGAGAACAAGAGAAAGAAAGGGGTTCAGATGAGAGAAATGCAGACACCTGCTTCCTAGCCTCCGAGCCTGCAGCTGGAATAAGAAATGGGCCCCAACCACGCCTTATCTCTTCCTGCAAAGGTATGGGCCCAAACTACTTGCAGATTAGCCCAGGGACCTGTTCTGTGACCTACAGAACACATCCAGTTCCCCAGCACAGAGATACTCCAAGTCTAATGCTACCCAGGCTCCATGCTGGACTGAACTATGTGCTCAGGTTCCTATGCTGGAGCTCAATCCCCTGGTGTCTTCCAGCAAGACTGCATCTGCAGAGGTGAGTGAGCTTAGGCGGACACAAGGGGGAAGCCTTCATCGACCACCTTTGCCCTAGTGTCTCTGAAAGAGAAGGATCAGGAAGATCGGAGCACAGAGGGAAGGACAGAGCACAAGATGGGAAGGGAGCCATCTGCAAGCCAGGAGAGGCCGGAAACCCACACTGATGACACCTGGATCACAGACCTGCAGCCCCCAAAGCCACAGAAAAGCAATGTCTGCTGGTTAAGATGCCCAGTGTGTCGTATCTCGTGGGAGCCCCGTAAACAGACACAGGTCCTTCACTTCCACCCAAAGGCCTAAAACAGTTCTACAACCCACACTAGTGACAGGATTCTGGTTTTCATTTTCTCAGGAGGCAGATCACCTGAGAGTTCAAGACCAGCCTAGTCATTATAAGTCACTATAGACCCTGTCCTATAAGGGTCTGCCGTTGGGAAAGGGGATGCTAAGGCTTTCTTTGCAGTGGGAAAGTCTGTCGACTGCAGCTGACATGGCTCTACGCTGTCACCTTGACCGAAAGCAGGTAACAACATGAATGAAATGATGTTCCAGGGGCTGTGGCTATTGAGAGAAGTAGCCTGAAGCCAGGCCTGGGGACACAAGCCTGTAATCCCAACACACAGAAAGATCTTGAGCACAAGGCCAGCCTGGGCCACATACTGAAAAAGAAAGAGGAGCCAGAGAGATGGCTCAGTGGTTAAGAGCACCCGCTGCTCTTCTAAAGGACCTGAGTTCGGTTCCCAGTACCCACGTGAGGTGTCTCACAGCCACCAGGGGATCCGACGGCTTTGGCCACTGTCTTAGTTAAGGTTTCTATTTGCTGCAACAAAACATCATGACAGTAAACTTCCACTTTGCTGTTCATCACTGAGGGAAGTCAGGACAGGAACTCAAACAGGACAGGAGCCTGGAGGCAGGAGCTGATGCAGAGGCCATGGAGGGTGCTGCTTACTGGCTTGCTCCCCATGGCTTGCTCAGCCTGATTTGTTATAGAACCATGGACCACCAGCCCAGGGGTGGCACCACCCACAATGGGCTGGGCCCTCTCCCACGGATCACCCACTGATGACTAATTGAGAAAATGCCTTACAACTGGACACATGGAGACAGCTCCTCAACTGAGGCTCCTTCCTCTCTGATGGCTCTAGCTTGGGTCAAGCTGACACACAAAAGCAGCCAATCCAGCCTCCAGAGGCAGCAGCACGCATGTGCTCACACTGACATGCACACACACACTCCTACACATGATTTAAAATTACAAGAGGAAGAAAGAGGGGGAAAAGAAGCAGTGAGTCTAATGCCATCCACATTGACGTGACAGAGGGGATCAGGACGAGACAGTTAGTTACTCTGTCCCCAGCACCCATTCAGCCCTAACGTAACCCTTTGGCCACTCGGCATCTAGAAGACCCTGGCTCCAGTTTCCTAACAGTAAAGGCAGCTAGCCAGGTCCTCAGACTTTCCACTCAACAAGCAACCGAGAGGTCTGGCTGCCTCTCCCCAGAGCTCCACAAGGCCATGCCACAGCCCTCGGAGCTTGGCCACCCCCAGGCTCCTTTGTCCTACTCCGCACAAAGCTCCCCTGAGAAACGCCCTCTCCTGGTGTGGGAGCAGTTCAGGCTTGATAGAGACCCCGGGCAACAAGCCTGACTGAGCAGCAGCTTTTAATTTCACAGCTCGCTGTGCCCAGAGCCCAGCTCTGACAGATGCCAACAATAAACACAGCTCGGCGACACTAGAAAGTAGAAATCCACTTTCTTCCCCAGCTCCGTACTCATGAGCAACCACTGTCGTCGCCTGCATTCCCTAAGGCTCTGGGCAGGTTCTGTACGCATGTGTTTATGTAACAGTTTTCATCGTAATAGAATTCAGATACTAAACAATTCAGTGGGTGTGAGTCTTTTCAGAGCTGTGCCACCAGCACTACGATCACCCTTATTCGACCTGGACCTGTCTGCTATGGATACGCAGCTTGCAGGGAGGGAGCTTGCAGGCTCCAGGAGGAGCAGGTGCACTTGCATCTAGAATGTGGAGACAGAATGTACTAGTCTCTGGGCACTGTGTGGGAGAGAGCTCACTGCTTCTCCCTGCAGGACACATCAGTCTGCACATATGCAGAGCAGAGGTGCGCACTCACTGTTCAGTACCAAGTAGCTTCTGGTTTTAGGCTTTGGATTTGCAGAATAGCTGGAGGCTGCATTGAAGGTCCCCCCCACACCTTCTGGATACATTTGTTCTGAGTATAGCCCCTAAAAAAGCCAGCGAGAGCCAGGGACCATGGCTGGATACATCTAGATACATTTGTTCTAAGTGTAATCCCTAAAAAAGCCAGCTGGAGCTGGGGACCACGGCTGGCTCCTTGGAATAAGTCAACATGATTGCGGATTCTTCAGTCATTCTGGCCCATTAGAAAAGGCTCTTTTGCCATCTGCCAATCATCATCAGTTCTTCTGGTTCCCAGGCCTCTGCTTCCCTAAGGGGCAGCACCTCACCCAGGCAGGGATTTGAATGGAGATGTCTGGGCACACAGAGCGGAGCCAGCCCTCTGGGTTCTACAGCCCTCCAAGTCACAGTGATTGGTTCAGAAGTCAGCAAGTGACTCAAGCTTCACCAATCAAAAGTCTGTCTCAAGACCCCCCCACTGGCTGCGGGAATGACAGGAAGGCTTCTTCCTACTCAGAGGTTGATGAGATAGGGAGCCAGCCTGGGCTGTGGGGAGTGAAAGGGGGGGGGGCTATTAATCTTACTATTAACCCTTCATGCCTCCTTAAACTTCCCAGGTAAAGAACAGTCAGTGCCCTTCAGATTTGGCCCATTAGGTGGGTTTCCAACACCTGCAAAATGCAAGGGAAAGCTGACTGATTACAGAGCTAACTGATGTCTCTAGTGGAGTCAGACTCACCCAGGACTGTCCTTCTCAAAGTAAGACAGTCCCACCCTACCGCCCCAGGCCCACTCTCCCTGACTTCCTTCTGTTTCAATTCTGCTGTTTCTACAAAACACACTGAGCTTATGGTTCTGCCTGAGAGTCCATCCGCGGGCCCAGTCCATCTGAGCCCGTTTATTTCTATGTGTCCATGTGTCTGTGCGTTTGCCTTTTCTTCATTCCTTCAATGTCCCAGTCAGCTCTGTCCCTGGAGCTGTGATGGACGCAGCATCCAAGTCTGGCCAATCGCAGCCTTGCATTCTCTGGTGACAGATTGGTCAGAGACAGGCATGGAGTCCAGCCAGTGCCTGCACACAGCCAATGGGACAAGGCTGGGAGACTCTCAGGAGGAAGGAAATGTGTCATTTGCTAGGAGTGATGGTGTAAGGTTGCTACAGGACCCTATATAGAGCCCGAGACCTGAGAGCACAGAATGGGGTGGGGGTGGGGGTGGGGGTGGGGGTGGGGGTGAGAGAGGGCTAGAAACAGCGTTCCTCATGGTGTCTGAGCCCCGAATGAAGCCTTACCTGGAGTCAGTCCCGAAACCTGTTTTTATGAGAGACGACAGATCTCTAATGACATGAAATCAGACGGACTAGGGTTTCTGTCGCTTGACAGCGAGAGGCTGACCGTGAAGTAGGTGACATTACACCAACAGCATCAGGTATGGTCTCCCCCACCCTGGGGTTGACATTTCTCTTTGGCTCACTCTTCCCCCAACTGACCATCCCCACAAGCTGGGCGTCTAGATACCTGGAGCCGTTGCTGATGAGAACGCTCTCCCGAATGGTCAAAGTGCAGTAATACCACACGAGCAGGAAGTTGAAGATTTCATCCGTCACCCTGGTTGGAAGAAACAGCCCCCGGGGAAGTGAACGGCATGAGCTCGCCCCTCGCCCTGACAAGACAGCCAGGACCAGAACTGCCAAGAGTTCGCACCAGTTGTTGGGTGTCTCCTCTTGCCCACACCCAGCCCCTGTGCCATCTCTATCTGGCCCTGCCTACACCCGAAGAAGGTCTAACAGAGGCTCCCTCCCTCGCCATCAGCTCACACAGCAACTGGACTGTAACAGGAAAATGTCAGTGCAGTGACTGATGATGACCATGTGACAGAGCCGGGAAGAGCTTGCTGGGAATTCGGAACCGGCAGGGTCCTGTGATATCCTGACCTCTCACTTCCGGCCCCCAGAATGCTGATAGAAATGGGTTTTTGTTGTGTTCTCCAGTTGGTGAAATTTTGAGAGATAGAGATGTGTGTGTGCATAAGAAGAGGGAGAAATGGGAACGTCCAGGTTCCATTTAGACAATGACGTCCTGGGAAGAATCCAGAGGCCCCAGCTAAGGGCCTGTGACTGCACACCAAGAACTCCTCTCTCTTCCAAAGGGGCAGATGAGCAGGCATTACTTGTGTGCGCAGCCTTTGCCCTCCGGGGCACGAGTCAGCCACTGGCAGCAGGCAGGCATGAACTAAGAGCCTGCAAGGGCCTTTGTTGAGAAACTCAAGTAGCCAGGCCAGCAGCTGGACTCTCAGCAAAGTGCGTGCAGAAAGCAAACCTGGACACTTAGGCCAAAGCATGAGTCATACTTGGCTACCCCTCCCCCTTTATGGCAGAAAACCCAGGCAGAGAGGAGTGGACCAGGCCCTTTTGGCAGGAGGGCTCCATTCTTAGCTCAGCTCTGTCTGCCCTCCCTCTCTTTTCAGTCAGTGATGGGCACAGTGTGAGCTAGCTGAAGGGCAACCCTACAAAGTGTGGCTGGCTGCCACTGTCTAACAAATGGAGGAATGGGAACTCCACAGGGAATCTGCCCGTAGACAGAGCCATTCAGTCTCAAAGCCAGGATTGGAATCCAGGTAGCCTGGAATGGCTTTTTTTGTTCTTGCATGCATCAGTCTTTTCTTTTTCTGTTTCTTTTTTTTCTTTAATATTTATTTATTTATTATGTATACAATATTCTGTCTGTCTGTACGCCTGCAGGCCAGAAGAGGGCACCAGACTCCATTACAGATGGTTGTGAGCCACCATGTGGTTGCTGGGAATTGAACTCAGGACCTTTGGAAGAGCAGGCAATGCTCTTAACCTCTGAGCCATTTCTCCAGCCCCTCTTTTTCTGTTTCTGAGACAGGGTCTCATGCATCTGACTCTGGCCTCCAACTCTCCTGTAGCTAGTGATGACCCTGAACTTCTGATCCTCCTGCCTCCACTCTCTGAGAGCTGGGATCACAGCGATGAACCATCAAACCTGGCTTATTCAATGCTGGAGACTGAACCAAGGTCTCTTTGCATACCAAGCAAACACTCTCCCAACTAAGTTACATCTTCAGCCCTATTGATTTAGTTATTATGTCACTGAGATGTAATTCGCATACCGTAAAATTTTCCCTTTTAAAGTATGTAATCTGAAGGCTAGGGAGTGAATGCCTTTAATCCCAGCACTCGGGAGGCAGAGGGAGTGGATCTCTGTGAGTTCTAGGCCAGCCTGGTCTACAGAGTGAGGTCCAGGCCAACCAGGGCTACAAAGAGACCCTGTATCAAAAAAATAAATTAAAAAAATTTTAAAGGAGATGTAATTTGGCATCCTTTGTTCATTTTCTTACACGACTGCCTAATCTCTATTGGAAATGCTGGTACCCAGGAACTGTCTGTCATTCCCCACTCCTGTTTCCCCTGTCAAGTTCTGCCCCCCGTTATGTGTCTCTGCCCCTCTGGACATTTCATATCAATGGACATACATAATATGTGGCCTTTTATACCTGGCGCCTTTCACTCAGCATGATGTTGTCAAAGCTCACCCATGCTGCAGCATGTCAGGGCTGTACTCCATGTTAAGGCTGTCGCATTCCAGCGTACATATAAACCACACTGGACTCGGTGAGTTACTACATCATGAGGCCCTGCCAGCAGCTGGTCCGCGAAGCTTACTAGATGGATGTGGGATGGATGGGAATGCCTATACTAGCCTCGGGCTGAGGAAACTGAAAGACTGTCTCCTTGAGGACTTCCTGCTCACACGGTGGGTACACCACCACACTCTGCCACGCCCCATTACCTGTAGTGAAGGACAAAGCGGCAGGCCACAGCACCCAGAAGCAGGATTATGGTCAGGTAGAGCTTGAACTTCTCATACTCGTCCTTGTATGCAAACCTGCCACGACAGACATCCCAGGAAAAGTCTCATATTGCTACCCTCCTGCTCTGACTCACCAGCCACCAGCCCTGCCTCCACCGCCATAGCCTCCGCATTGACCTACAGCAGAACCTGACCTTCAACTAGTGATGTCTAGTGAAGGAGAGAGGACCAGCTACAAAAGGGCCCTGTCCCTAGGCTTTGGGGCCGTGCTGGGGACAGGCAAGGGTCAAAGACTGAAGGCCAACACAAATAAAATTCAAAAGACGAGATCGCGGGAACAAAGACCAAGGCCACCTGGAAACAGCACCTCGACTGGTTGGGCAGGACTCTATTCCAGGACAGATGCCGTGATAAGGTGTAGGAAAGAGGAGACGCTGTCATGGGAATTGGGGGTGGGGGGTCTTAGCAAACCAACATACTGACTCTTGGAAAGGAAGGAGAGAGCCCCCCCAAGTGCTCCCCCATGTTGAGGAATATTATTTTCAGGTGTGTGACTTTTGTTTATGCTGCATTTGTTTAACTCCACCAAGCTGTGTTACTGTGCCTGTCTAAAACGCCCGATGGTCTAATAAAGAGATGAACGGCCAATAGCAAGTCAGGAGCAAGGACAGGTGGGGCTGGCAGGCAGAGAGGATCTGAGGAGAAATCTGAGAGAACAGGAGCAAAAGAACAGGGAGAGGAGGATGTCGGGGTCAATCACCCAGCCAGCCTTGGAGAAAGAAGTAACAAAGGTATACAGAAATAGAGAAAGATAAAAAGCCCAGAGGCAAAAGGTAGTTGGGTTAATTTAAGTTAAGAAAAGTTGGCAAGAAACAAGCCAAACTAAGGTCGGGCATTCTAACTAAGAATAAGCCTCTGTGTGTGATTTTTTTGAGAGCTGGGTGGCGGGTCCCTCAAAAAGCCAAAAGAATCACACACCACTGAGGTGGGCAGGGTCAGAAAGCCAGATGGTCAGAGCCTCAACTGCTAACGAGTTTGATCCATGCAAAGACTGTCCCCGAGTAAAAGGAAGAAGGCTTCACCGGCATCGGTCGGGATCTGGGTATACTCACTTGGCCTGGTTGCTGAGGAGAGTCACGTTGACGTTGCCAAGGACCAGATTCAGGTAGAGCCTGGAAGGAAAGACCTGTGAGGGTGCAACCAGTCCTTTTCAAGCTTGGTGAATGCACACTGAGTCTCACAGTAGAAAACAGGGTGCTAAGCTAACAGTCCAGTGGGCCCCACCACGGCTGATAATAATAGTTAGCCAGAGAGCATGGCATCTGCATACAGGACAGTGTGGCCAACTGCCTCCCCACTGAAGCTAACTTACAGGCCTTATCTCCCACCCTCCTTGGCAGCCAGGTAAGAGCAGATGACTAACTTACAAAGAGTCAAAGACATTTAACCAACATCTAGGTCAATTTTAAAAAAATTCTAAGCCAGCTGGGAGGTAGTAGTGCACGCCTTTAATTCCAGCACTTGGGCAGCAGAGACAGGCGGCTCTCTGGGTTTGATTTGAGGCCAGCCTGGTCTACAGAGCTAGTTCCAGGACAGCTAGGAACTAGCTTGGAAGGAAAAAAAAAAAGTACATGCTGCTAAGCCTGATGACCTGAGTTCAATCTCTGGAACTCCTGCAAGGTGTCCTCTGATCTCTATAAACATGCCAAGGACACGTGTGTGCCCACAAACATGCACACACATAAGTAAACGTAAGAACATAAGCATTCATTTTCCACTGGGTATACACGCTAGAAGGGTATGTTGGGGCCACGGTGTATGCTGTTTAACTGTTAGAAGACATGGCAGCAGCTCTCTTGTAAAAAGGGATCATTTACTTCCTTCCCTCTCTTTTCCCTTCCTGAGGCTGCGATGGTGGGAACTGTCTTTGTCCTCAGAGAAGACGGCTACTGAGGGGTAGAGAAGTATCAGACAGAGAACTACACTTGATGGTCTCGTGATTCTTCATGACAGAGAAGTAAACTCTCACACTCACACTCACGCTCTTTCTCTCTGTATGCATGGGTGTTTTGCTCCTGTGTACATCTGTACACGTGTGTAGTACCTTGAGAGCTGATAAGAGGACATCAGGTTCCCCTGGAACTATAGTTATAGAGAGTTGCCAACCACCACATGAGTGCTGAGAATTGAACCCAGGCCCTCTGCAAGAGCAACAGGTGTCCCTAACCACCTGAGCCATCGCTCCAACCCCAGGAGAAGCTCTCTCTTGTGAGCCAAGCATCGCTAGGCCTCTCTCTGTGCAGCAGCCCGTGCTCTAACATACTGACAAACGTGCAAACAGAGGACCCTAAGACCCTGAGGAAGAAGGGCTTTGGAAAGTCTCCACCGAGGTGATGGCGTGTGGATGGAGCTTTGAAGAACGAGTGGAAGCTGGAGAGGAGGAATGAGAGCAGGGGACTTCTTTCTACTAGGAGTGGCTTTGTGGGACACTGCCAGTCTGCAGAAGATATAAGGTATTAAGAGGACCTGTATGTCTTACCTAGCACCCAGTCCCTACATCCTGCAAAGGCAATGCAATCCCTTCAGAGAACAGTCCCCCGCCCCATGTGCCCCCAAAGGCACATGAACATAGCTTTATCAAAGCAGGACATCCTCCGGATTGGGTTAAGATTAGTCACAGGACACAATCTAACCCAATGAAAACCCATCCTAGAATTTTAAATCCCTGAGACCACTGGGGAACCAGGAAAGGCTAGGCACGTAGGAGCAAGCCTAGCATGGCCGGGGAGTATTATAGAGAAAGACTGCCCATAAATAGACAAATATACACACTGGAAAAGACAGTTAAAAAAAAGTTAAATGAGAAGTGGGTTCTAACAGCATCTGAACGGCAGGATCCATTCAGACCTGATCTATATTCTTGCTATATCTGAGCTATAAACCCCTCATTTCTTCGGAAGCAACTCTGAACTGTCTAGCCTGGGTGACAAGACTCCCAACTGATGCAAAACACACAAACCGCCAGGGAAGTGAGTTTGAGCAACTCAGTCCGAGAGGCCATGAATGATGGAGGGAGGTGTGCTGTTGATAGGACCTGGTGAGACTTTAACCCAAATACAGCAAAAAAGGAAAAATGACAGGTGGGTTACAATGTCCCAGGGCCACCATGTTAATGCCCATCTGGCTAAGGCTCAACAGGAATCTTCCTCAGGAAAGATCTGACTCCACGCAAGGCTACACCCTGCTTCAAAACCAGAAAGTAAATAAGGGCAGAGTGTGGTACACACCTGTAATTACAGCACTCAGGAGGTGGAGACAGGAGGATCACCCCCAGTTGAGGGTAGCTTGGTCTACAGAGAGTTCCAGGTCAACCAGAGCAATATAGTAAGGCCCTTCTTCTTAAAAGATTGAAAGAAAAAAATGGCTGGGGATGTAGCCACGTCGTTGCCTAGCATATAAGGATGCCCTGGTTTCCATCCCAGAAGGAAACAAAAGCGGGGAGCACTTCAATCTAACAGTGCAGCTTGTTGGGGATAAAATAACTGCTCCAGGGGCATGACCAGTACAGTGCTGGGCACGCAAAACTCACTCAACACATATCCTGAGAAAGAACGCTCTCCTCCTAGCCCCGGTGGCACACACGGGTATCAGGTGCCAGCTCACAAGAGTTACGCTGGGAACATCACAGCCACAGGGGAAGGACTGCAGCTCCTCCGAGATCAGGAGGTACAGGTACAGAATTTCTCTCTCCTCCTTGTCCTCATTCCCCCCTTTTCCTCTGAATCTCATGCCCTAGCGGGAGGGGGGGATCCACAACAGGAATCAGAGGGTTCCCACTCCTACCCATTCTTCTTCGGTAGGTAGGCCTCCATGTCGAAGAAGACATTCTGTCGCTCCTTAATGTTGGCGCCTATCTGCTGAATGAGCTCTGCCTCCTCTTGACTGGAATGGCGCTTGCACCTGCAAAGGGAGTGATGCTGAGCTCCTCGAGCCTTGAGACCTTGGCGATGCCACGGCCCATGCCTGACAGATAAGGGTGGCATTCACAAACAATAGCCACGTAATGAGGTGAGCGGGTGCAGTGAGGCATTGGGAATGACGCTCAGCATCAGTAGCTGGCAGACTTGGGTGGGCGGCTAAGCTGTTTTCTTCTACTGTAGCAGATCTTAAAGATTCCTAAGTGGACTGACTGAGAGGCATGAGGAAGTATTGGCAGTCAACCAATCAAGGTCTTCCTGCTGCTCTTTGGAGAGATGCCATTATCAAAACTAGAAAACCAGCCGGGCAGTGGTGGCGCACACCTTTAATCCCAGCACTTGGGAGGTGGATCTCGGAATTCAGGTCCAGTCTGGTCTACAAAGCAAGTCCCAGGATAGTCAGGAGTACACAAAGCGATCCTGTTTTGAAAAACCAAACCTCCAATCCCAAAACCCATAAAAGGGAAGGAGCAGAGGCACTTGGGAGAGAGAAGCAGAAGGATTGAGATTTCAGGTCATCCTTGGATATAGCCAGTTTGAGGTCAGCTTGGGCTACAAGTGACCCTGTCTTTAAATGAAGAAAAATAGAACCATATTGACGCCACATCCTGGAACGGAAGGATTCCTCAGTCTAGGACCCTAACTGACGGGTCAACCTTCCTCAGATGGTGCTTATCTTGTGGTGCCGCTGAGCAGCGTCTGTCACAGCCGGGGTGGGTGGCCCAGCTGTATTTCCCGGGGTCCTGATGAGCAGCCACAGTGTCTGAACAGTCTGAGCAGTGTCTGTCACAGCCGGGCTGGGCGGCCCAGCTGTATTCCCAGGGTTCTGATGAGCAGCCACAGTATCTGAACAGTCTGAGCAGTAGTTTATTAACAGGACAGAGGCTGCAAGGCCCAGGCTTCCTCAGTCAGGAAGGGCCAGATCTAAGCTCAGCATGCAGGTGGCCACCTCAGTGACCATGACAGCAAAGCCAATCTAGAGAAAAGCAGAATTTAGAGGAAAAAAACAGAGTCCTAGAAACACCCTCTGACCCCTGCGTCCAGGGACACCTGAAGCTAGCCTTGTTTTTTTCCACCAAAATTTCCATTTTCTTCTTAAGCCAGTTTTGAGTTGGGTTTCTGTCCTTTAGGACTAAGGGACTAGGACTAGGGGTGCTTACTTCACGTGTGCAAAGAAAGCCCTGGGTTCCATCCCAATGAACCCAGAACTGTGCAAACCACGCCAAGCTAGTGGCTGACACCTGTGATCCAAACTCAGCAGGATGGCCAGAAATTCAAGGTCATCCTCAACAGTGTGAGACCAGTGGGGGTGGGGGAGTAGGAGGCCCCGGGGAGCTTTCAAGCCATGCCCTCTCACCTCTGGAGAGCGAGCTTCAGGTCCCTGATGTGCCGCTTCTGCTTGTTGATGGAAGTGCTGCACAGAGTCTGTAGCGCTGTCAGCTCCTCCAGCTTCTGCCTGTAGATCCTGTGCGTCTCCTGAAGGGCAGAGCAGCGAGACGGGAGGGTGGGACACACACACACACAGCCTTCTCACAGGGATGGAGACCCAGCTGGAGAGATCTGGGTGACAGCTATAACGGTACAACTATCAGGGCCGTAGCTTTGACCGAGGAAGGCGGCATGGCACAGTAGCTGTGGAAAAAGAGCCAGCTTTGCCCAGCAGTCAGTCCTGATTCTCTCTCTCTTCTTTTTTTTTTTTTTTTTTTTTTACGCCTGTGTCTCTCTGTGTAGCCCTGGTTGTCCTGGAAGTCAATGTAGAGACCAGGCTAGCCTTGAACAGAAATTCCCCCATTCCCCATCTCTAAGTGCTGGTATTAAAGAAGGTGTACCTATTTCATTCTATCAGACATGAACAGCCAAACATGATATAGAAAGGTTACCTTGCGTTTGTGTGTCTGTGTGTCTGTCTGTCTGTCTAGGGGTTGAGGCTAGTAACTTGGGCATTCCAGGCAGAATTTCTACCACTGGGGTACATCCTCAGCCTCCCTGCCACATGTTTCTTCTTGATTTTGTGGGACCAGGTTTCGTGTATCCCAGGACGGTGCTGAACTCGCTATGTAGCTGAGGATGAACCTGAACGTCTGACTCTTCCACTCCTACCTCCTGAGTACGAGGATGATACCCAGACACCAACACCCCCAGGTCTTTACGCATGCCAGGCATGCACTCTGCCAAGTTAACTACATCACAGCCAAGGCCATGTCAACTCTTCATCTACTTGGTTCAGCAGAGCAGAACACCCCAGCAAGGCTGGTCACATCCAGTCCCAACCCATCATCCTCTAGTCTGATTGGCTCAGAGGTGAGCACATGGTTCCTACTGACCCAGTGAGAGCCAGTCCTGGGACTTTGGATGGAAGGATTAGACAAGAGCTGTCTTTTCCCCTGGGTATGCCTACTCCAGCCTGAAGTAGACATGGACAGAGAACCCAGAGATGATAAGATGGAATCCTGACAGCATCTGCACAAAGTGCACATGGGTCCTCAATGTCACGACACTGGGATGTCCTGGGATCTTTAGGAGCTGTTAAAGGTCTGAGCTGAGGAGTCAGTTAAGTCTCATGAAACTAGATGCAGACTCGCGCAGCAGACTGTGGTGCTTCCCCCTCAATCTCCCAGCGCATGCTCTTCCATATACATCCACCCCACGATGCACATCATGACCCTGCCCAGATGTGGCTCTCAAGCTTGGATTCAGCCTCTCAAACAATGAGCCAAAGCAGACATCTTCTTCTTATACACTATCCAGTCACAAGCTTTTTGTTTGTTTTTTAGTTTTTCTTTTTTGGGGTTTTTTTTTGTTTGTTTGTTTTTTTGTTTTTTCGAGACAGGGTTTCTCTGTGGCTTTGGAGCCTGTCCTGGAACTAGCTCTGTAGACCAGGCTGGTCTCGAACTCCCAGAGATCCGCCTGCCTCTGCCTCCCTAGTGCTGGGATTAAAGGCGTGTGCCACCATCGCCTGGCTGTTTTTTTAAAAAAATATTTATTTATTTATTATGTATACAATATTCTGTTTGTGTGTATACCTGCAGGCCAGAAGAGGGCACCAGACCTCATTACAGATGGTTGTGAGCCACCATGTGGTTGCTGGGAATTGAACTCAGGACCTTTGGAAGGGCAGGCAATGCTCTTTACCACTGAGCTATCTCTCCAGCCCCACCTGGCTGTTTTTTAGTTTTTCAAAACAGAGTTACTCTGTGTTGCCCTGGCTGGCCTTGAACTCACAGAGATCCACCTGCCTCTGCTGGGATTAAAGTCCTGCATCACCACTGCCCAGCCAGTCTCAAGTATTTTATTTCTGGTTGTGAGCCTTTTAACAACTGAGCCAACCCTTCAGCCCCCAAGTATTTTATAGTAACAACACGACACAGATTTCAGCTCTTGGGTGTGAGTCAGTCGTAAGTGGTACGGACCCATAAGCTCCTTTCTACTTCCTGTGCACTTTGAGTTTCTGATCCTCAGTGTGAAGAGAACTCTTGCTAAGTCAACTAAGAGAAGCTCCTATCCCCTCCCTTAAAGCCATTGTCCGTGCCCCAGACATCACCACTCAATAAACTTTATATTCCTTCTTGGAAATAACCCTTTTGAGCCACATAACAAGAGACTTATCCCAACGTTGGGAGAAGGCAACAAAGTCCTCAAATGACTGCCTCACTGGACTCCCAGTAAGTAACTCTGTGGAGGTGATGGGAGAGCGCAGGAGGGTGCAGAACATGAAGCCAAAAATCAATGAGCAGTAGACATAATTCAAAGAGCCATGTTCATTCCTTTCTGGTTGACCTGCAACTCTTTGCAGATAGGAATGGCCTTAACTCAGAGATCTGGTTTTTTTTTTTTTTTTTTTGGTTTTTCGAGACAGGATTTCTCTGTGGCTTTGGAGCCTGTCCTGGAGCTAGCTCGGTAGACCAGGCTGGTCTCGAACTCACAGAGATCCGCCTGCCTCTGCCTCCCGAGTGCTGGGATTAAAGGCGAGTGCTGGGATTAAAGGCGTGCGCCACCATCGCCCGGCTAACTCAGAGATCTGAATGCTTCTTCCGCCCAGGTGCACCATGCTTGACTTCAACAGCCATGTTCTTAGCGGCCACAAAAGCGTGCTTACCAGAGGGGAGAAGGAGGGGAAGCAAGGTGCAGAGTCTATACTAGCATGTCTGCCAATAAAATAGTAAGTTAAAGCAGAAAATTAGGAAGCAAGAAAAATATCAAAGAAACCATGAACAGGTAGCAAACGCCTTTAATCCTAGTACTTGGGAGGCAGAGGCAGGCAGGTTATTGCTGGTCAAGCCCAGCTATACAGCAAATTCAAATCCAGTCAGAGCTGCGTAGTGAGACTATATCTCAAAAAAGAAAAAAAGAAGAACAGTTAGCAATGACATCAAGAATACATGAGCCAGTCACCCTGGATGACCCATTTGCAAGAGGGGCAAAACCAGGAGCCTCCTCTCCTCCCTGTGCCTCCCACGGAGGAAAATCATGTTTTCCTAATATGCTTACTTATCCTAAGATGATTTCAAGCTTGCAGACTTCCAAGAGCCAGATGAAGAACGTCCCTCTCTAGCCTCTCCCCAGTCACAGGGACCCTCGGGATGTGCGTCTGCTGTGTATGCACGCCTCCTTCTCTATCAGGATCAGTGAGTACCAGGCAACCCTGCCATCTAATTCTCTGGAGGTTATAAGACAGAAGTGGGTTCTGAAGGATTGAAAATAATAAAAACGTTAAAATACCCCACACTCTGTGAACACCACAGGCCACTGGGATCGTGGCAGCCACACTCTGTGAACACCGCAGGCCACTGGAACTGTAAACACCCCACACTCTGTGAACACCGCAGGCCACTGGGATCGTGGCAGCCACACATACAGCTCTACTGTGCTCTGTCACGCTCATCACACATGACCTGTGGCTGCTCTGGTACCCTAACAGCTGAATGAGTGGCAGCGCAGAGACCGTATGGCCGCCAAAGCTTAAAAAAAGAAAAAAGAGGGGCTGCAGAGATGCTCAGCTGTTAAGGTGCTCTTCCAGAGGTCCCACATGACAGCTCACAACTGTCTGTAACTCCAGTTCCAGGGACCCGGCACCCTCACACAGATATGCCTGCAGGCCAAATGCCGATGCTCATAAAATAAAAATAAATAAATAAATAAAGATAACCTCAGCCGGGTGGTGGTGGCACACACCTTTAATCCCAGCACTCAGGCTGGCAGATCTCTGTGAGTTCGAAGCCAACCTGGTCTACAAGAGCTAGTTCCAGGACAGGCTCCAAAACCACAGAGAAACCCTATCTTGAAAAACCAAATAAAAAAAAACCACACACACACACACACTTCTCTATTTGACCCTTTGCCAAGGAAGCTTACCCCACCCTACCCGCCACCCACCACCCATCCCGACCCATTAGGGAGTTGGCTGTAATCTTGTCAGTTGAGCTTCAATGTGCATCAGCTGTGATCAATGATATCCGTTCTATTCAGATGTTTACTAAACCTTGAGATGCATGCATGCATGCATGCATACATACACACACACATACATACATACATCTTTGAGGCCTTCATCTCAGACACCACAGATAGACATTACAACTGAACTTTTAAAATGTTTTAAGCTTCATTTGTTTACGTATTCTGTGTGTGGATGTTTGCTGCCTCCCTCCCACAGTGTATACACTGACTGATTCTGTCAACTTGACACAGCTAGAGTCATCAGAGAGGAAGGAGCCTCTCAGTTCAGACGTCTCCATGAGATCCAGCTGTAGGGCATTTTCTCAATCAATGTGGGCAGGGAAGTCCATTGTGGGCAGTGCCACCCCTGGGCTGGTGTCCTGGGGTCTATAAGAAAACAGGCTAAGCCAGGCAATGGTGGTGCGTGCCTTTATCCCAGCACTCGGGAGGCAGTTCCAGGACAATTAGAGCTGCGACACAGAAAAACTTTGTCTCAATAAACAAAAAAGAAAAGAGGGAGGGGAAGGGAGGAAGGAAGGGGAGAAAGCGAGAGGCTGAAGAAGTCATGGGGAGCAAGCCCGTAAGTGGCTCCCCTCCATGGCCTCTGCATCAGCTCCTGCCTCTAGATTCCTGTCCTGACTTCCTTCAGTGATGAACAGTGATGTGGAAGTGTAAGCAAAATAAAGTCTTTCCTCCCAGCTTGCCTTATGGTCATGATGTTCTGTTGTGGCCATGGAAACCCTAACTAAGACAGTACCCATGAGGAGGTCAGGACAGTCTGCAGGACTGGTTCTCTCCATCCACCAGGTGGTAAAACTCAGGTCACTGGGCTCGGTGGGAAGCCATCTTGCAGCCCAAACTGTCTCTTTCATGGCACTTGTCCTTCAGATCTTGGGTCCCATCCAATATTACACTGAGTATTCTTGGCGGGTATTTTTTGTCTCTTTAACCTGGAACAGAACTTCAACTTCCATCTCTCACGAACTGACACCTTCAGGTCCAGTTTCTTCATTTAGGGACGTCTCTCGACCTGGGTTCACCCTGATGTTCCCTTAAGATTCACTTCTGTTTTTGTAGTTGGCTTTCATGTGATGACCTGTGCTCTGAGCTTCCTGTCAGGAGGAACATGGTGTCTGTGGCATCAGTTTAGAGTGCTAGGTAACGGTGTCCCTCTGAGCCTCTACCCATAGAGTGATCAACTTTTGCTATTTGTAACTACTAAGTTACCTCAGGGTCAGGCATGTAGCACAGCTAAGTGCTTGCCCTGCCCACGTGAGGCCCCAGCAACAGAAATGAATAACAAACCAATGAAGAAGAGAGACCACGTGTAAAGGAGTTTTGATGTTTCAGCACAAAGGAAGCCTCCAAGACATGGCAGGGAAGGCGGGGCCCACAGCCGCCTAGAAGGTGGGGCCTTTGTGAGAGGGACTCCAGATAAAGGCTGCACAGCCTCCTGTTCTACCTTCGGGAGATAAGACAAAGGCTGCAAAATCAGCAGCCAGAAGCTGACCAGGCCCTCTTCAGTGTGAATTAATATTTAATTTCACAAGTCAAACACGAAGACATTATCCTTGTTAAAAATTAAAACACCAGCCACGGCTTAATCCAGTGGTTCTCAACCTTTGGATCCCGACTCTTGGGAGGGGTCACATACCAGACGTCCTGCATGTCAGATATTGACATTATGATTCATAATAGGAGCAAAATTACAGTTATGAGGTAGCAACAAAAGTAATTTTAAGGTTGGGTCACCACAACACGAAGTACATTTGTTAAAGGATCACCAATTTCTTTATGTTTTTGAGGCAGGGTCATGCTATGTAGTCCTGGCTGACTTTACCTTCACTGTGTAGCCCAAGCTAGCCTTGAACTCAAGCTGGGATCCTCCATAGTCTCCCAAGTACTGGAATTGGGTGCACTACAGCTCCCAGAGAGAGATTTCACCTAGACAATCTGCTCCACGTTCTTCCAGGCTGTATTCTGTGTCTGTACATAGTATTCCTTTCTTTAAAAATACAGTGTGTGGTGCCTTGCATTCAGTGCCCAGTACCAAAATAAAAAACAAAACAAAACTTTATTGTATGATTGGAATACAAAAAAAAAAAAAAAAAGCCAATTTAAGGTCTAAGAAGCGGAGTGGAGGTGAGTGCCCAGCCACGAGACTGCCACAAGAGACCACGCTGTGGGCGCGCCCTTCACCTCCAAAGGTCTCCTCTCACCCCCTTACTTCTGTGTAAAAGAACATCAAGGCAGGTGTGGTGACACAGCTGTGTGACCCTGGCACTTAGAAGGCAGGGCCAGAGGATTATAGCGCTGCAATACTGGCCCAGCAAACACGGCACGGGTGACACCACACAGTTTCTGGGAAAGGCCGACGAGGCCTATGTCGCGGCTACCTCATTCACTGGACAGTTTGCTCCTGGAACAGAGTCCCCCTACCCCAATGCCCTAATCACACAGAGAATCCTAAAACCAGAATGACCTGCAGAAAGGAAAACTCCCGTATAGTTCTGTTCCGGGCCACATTACAGACTTCCGTCTGGGACCTTCTGATGTGGGAGTGTCATATATCAATCTGTTGATTTCATTTGTTAAGTTATAATAAACCAGCTGCTTGGCCTCATGGCTTGGAACATAGATGGGAGGAGTAAACAGAATAGAATTCTGGGCGGAAGAGGAAGTGAGGTCAGACTCTGCTCTGCTCCCGGAGAGACTCAACAGCTCTGCTGGAGCAGAGACGCCATGCTCAGCTCTCCCGGGTAGACGCGATAGCTCTGCTCTCTGAGGCACACGCGATGAAGATGGATGTAGGCTAGAATCTTCCCGGTAAGCGCACCTTGGGGTGCTTACAAACATCATTAGAAATGGGCTAG